CTATTTATTTTTTTTCACCTTTGTTTCCTGTGTATTTTTTTTTAAGTAACTTATTTTTCCTAGTTGTACAAATAATACATGTACTAAAAAGTTTAGGGAGTACAGAAGATATGGAGATAGAATATTATCATTGTAATCTCCATGTGTAGATAACCACAGTCAACATTTAAGTTTATATACTTATGATCATTTTCATATATTTGTATATATAATGTGTGTATATACATATATGTTAAAAAAATTATATTTCAATTTTGTGACCTGCTTTTTTCACCTAGCAGTGTATCTTAAGTATTTTCTTACAAAATAGTATTTTAGGCTATCCAATGATAAGTCGCTTCTACAGATATTTGGACAAAAAATTTCTGTCCTAAATTTGTTGCCAGTCATTTTCTTGATGCCATGTTAAGTGCTTGGCAAATGCCTTCCACCAGCCCCCTCTTCTTTCCCCCTATAACTAACCTGATGATTTAGCAGCCAAACCACTTTTTCATAAATTTGCAAATAATCTAGGCTGAAAAAGGATAGCTCTTAAACCTAAACTAATTTATTTTTCATATGCCATTTGATAATTTGGCTAATTATTCTGTTAATAGACTATTTCCGCTTCTTAAATTAATAAGCAGGTAGGAAGGCGCGGAGGCAGGACTAACCTGAAACTTGTTTTGTAGGTGTGGATATGCGACGTTGCATCACGTCATAGATAAATCCAAAGAGGACCGGATGGAGAGCTTCTTTCTCAGTGAGACCTGTAAATACTTGTATCTGGTATGTGTGTTAGAAGGCTAACCCAAGAAATGTTGATTAGTGCTCGGAGCATGCATTCATTCGGTCTTCTGTCTAGCACATGTCCAGCACGGCTCTGTGCTGGACATGTGCTGGCCCAGGGACACAGTGCTATCAAAACAAGAGTGTATTGCTGTCGTCTGCCGAGGTTTCTAACCTCGTAGGGGAGGCATCGTCAAGTAAACAAACAAACTTAACAGTTGCAACCGGTCTGAAGTGCTGGTCACGGTTCCTGGAGGACCTGTGCACATGAGTTGTGGTGGTCGGGGAAGGCGTCTCTGAGGAAGAGAGCAGTGTCTGCAGCTCTTATGTCTTCTGATGCATGTGAGTTTGGCCGAGACCCCAGCCCATTTGGCTCTCTGTCCATGCACACATTCCCAGGTGTGTGGAGAGAGAGAGAGTCACGGAACCTGGAGGAAACCTTTAAGGGATTGTTTGTCAGCATTCATTCTTCCCCTTGTGGAAGCTGCTGTCTACATGGAGATGTCAGGTGACTTAACCTGGGTTTTCAGGGTGACTGCAGAGCAGAGCTGAGGCTTCAGTCCTGGTCCTGACTCCTTCTGCAATGCTCTTGCCACTCCCCTGCTCTGCAGCGTGCACACATTGTGTCCGTGGCTTGTGCACGCAGCTACTCTCCTACCTTCTCTACGGCTGTACTTGGTATGGCTATGTACAACAGGATGCTTCCCAGGCACACAGGGGCAGGTCTTCCTGGTGGGAAAGCAGTGTGGAAGCTGAGGTTCAAAGGGAAGAGGGGAGTAGTGATAGGCTGTGTTATTGAGGTTCCTGGTTCCCAGGCCTGGGGACCAGCTGGATCAGAATCACCCTAGGGCCCTTGTTAAAATTACAGCCCTCTTGAATCAGAATCGACAGAAAGTGGGTTCAGGAATCTGTAATTCTGACAAGTGACTTGTGATTCTCTACAGAGCCAGGGTTTGGAATTACCAGTCCAATCTGGTGTGACTCTTCACAGGACACTGCAGAGGAGGCGAGCCCACCAGCCGCCCACCTAGTCCAGCCCACGGGAAGCTGGCCGGCCTGCCGTCAGGTCCCCATGGGGGCCTAGGCCTCCCTCTCGGTGTGTGCCTCCGGGCCAGGCTGGTCGCTGCAGGCTGATAGGAGCCTGGCGTGCATCCCCGTTCAGCAGCCCGTGGCGCCTGGGGTGTTCGCAGGGTGAATTCTAGAGCGAGTGAAGGAGATGTCCTAGGCTGTTCTAGAGGAGAGACCATAGTGTCTGGGGCGAGAAAACCTAGACCTCCTGTTAGCTGTGGAAACACAGACAAGTTGTGCTGAGTCACGTTTTTCCTCATCTGTACAGTACTTCAGGTGGCTGTAAGGTTTCTTCCATCACTGAGATTTCTGTTCTGAATGTTTGCTCATTTAACATTTACTAGACCCCTGGCTCCTCCCCTAACCGACCTGTCCTGTATTCAGTTAGGTGTTCTTTCTGGATGCTCCTGCCACATTCCTCCTGTTGAAGGAAAGGACTGCCCTCTGTCCTCAGAGCCCTGCCTGTGTTCTGACAGGAGTCATTGGGATGATGGCACAGTGTGCTCTGTGCCAGGCCCTGGGATATGGTGAAGGAGAAAGCGTTTGCTTCTTTCCTTCCAGCATTGTCCAGTGTAGGACCTAGGTGTGTGCGAGGAGGGGATAGTTCTAGAATTCTAGTGCCACAACTCTCAGGGAAGAGCTTTTATAGACTATGCAAGTTTGGGCTCAGCCCTGGGATTTCTGACTCTTTAGGTCCAAGTGGGGTGGGATGGGATGGGGGAAATTCAGGCATTTGGATTTAAACAAAACTGGTGATTCTGCTTTGCAGCCAGAGTTGGGAACCATCTTTTCACCCATTTGTCACTGAAAAGCCTGCGGACCCAGCAAATTCTACTTCCTGAATAGTCTGGGACATACTCGACCGAATTTGTTCCAAATGTGCTACAGTTACCAGTTGTATCTTTTTTATTTTCTTTTTTTTCCTTTCCTACTAGCTATTTGATGAGGAGAATCCAGTCCACAAATCTGGAACCAAATACATGTTTACCACTGAGGGACACATTGTATCTGTGGATAAACATCTTCGGGAATCACCCTGGAAGGAATTCTTTTCTGAAGAGGGAGGGCAGGACCAAGAGGGGAAGTCTATGCACAGGCCTAAATCACCCGAGTTAAAAGTCATCAACTCCAGCTCCAACGTAAGTTGCTTTCTTCAGGGGTGGTTGGCATGTGGACAAGGAGAAAATAATACAAACTTGTCATCCAGAGTCCCTGACAGAAAATTGGTGGCATCCAGACTGGGTCATTGGAGAAGGTTTCACAAAAGACCATCGACGTGGATATCGTCAGGGTGTGGGGACCCACGGGAGCAGCGCCACTGTCCGTCCTAGCTGCAGGGGCTCGTGGTCACAGGAACCTGGGTGGGGAGAGGCGTGCTGGAGCGGGGGGCTCCTGGCAGAAGCCTTGTTCCGAGCCAGCTCCAGTGAGCTTGCGGAAGGGAACCAGCAGAGTAAACACTCGACCATCCTTCTACCTTCTCCTCTGCTGGAGCTTCTCACTGGCGATGCTCACCAGGGGTCAGAGGCCATGGGGACCTTTTGGTATAATCTGTCGAGTTGGCCTCTGGGGCCAGAGCAGGATGGGGAAGGGCAGAGAGTGGATCTGGAGGAACAAATGGAAGAGATCCAGCCAAATCACCCAGCAGCAGGAGAGAGAAAAGAGCAGTCATCAGTCATTGTGATTTTTAATGAAATGCTCTTGAAAGTGCAGAAGAACGAAGTTTCATTTAAGGCAGGGTTCACTGAGCACACCTCGACTGTCCTGATAAATACTGGGAAAGATTTAGAAACAAGTCCTGGGGTTTCTGGTAGGAGTCCTAGGTATAGTTGTATTGATTTGAGTCAAATAGGACGGTTTGGAAGTGAGGATGGGGAAAGAGACCCCGCATCAGTTGAAATATCAAACCGGGTTATCCCACCATGCATTGAATGCCATCTCTCTGCTCAGAAAAAGCCTCTGTTGTTGAGATGCCTGCCACCCACTTCCAAACTGCCATGGCTAGGGGACGCCCCGTGGTCCCCGGCTGTGCTTCTGTACTTGACTGTCAGTGTCCCATTGAAAGTCTTTACCGTCAGTCTGTGAACTACGTTGACAGACCGGAGCAGAGATCGGTCCCCCAAATCTCCATAAGGCCATGCAGTGTAGACTAGGTGAACACAGCCTAATTGAGATGAAAAGGGAAGGAGGAGAGTTAGGGGCAGAGAAATAGTAATTACAGTCAACATTTGTGTATAACACCTCCCACAGCCCAGGCCCCTTTTCCAACTGGTCATGTGCAGTAACGTCTCACAGTGGCCCCGCGAGGGTAGGTGCCTTTGGTCTCCTCATGTTACACGTGGGGAAAGGGAGGCGCAGAGAGCTTCTGGTCCCGTGTTGAAGCCGGGAGGTGGACTGGAAGGAGACACTCCTCTTAGGGCTCTAGCGATGTGGGTCCATCAGAGGGGTCTCGTGGGGAACCCGGCTCCTTGCCAGGTATTTGTCAGTAAGGCGCTGCGTGCAGTGCTGCTGAAACACAGAGGAGCGAGGAGTTAATCTGCCAGCGGAGATAAAGAGGGCTTCATTGCCAAGGTCACTTTTCAGAAGATGCGTGAGGGGATGAGGAGGAGCTTCCCAGGAAGGGCCGTTCGGGCAGCCCTTGAGGGGGGAAAGGAGCTTTTCTTTAAAAAAAAAAAAAAAAAAGAGCTCCGTCAAGCATTTAGGTTTTAGGTGTGGTTGGAAAGAACCATAAACTCAGAAAAACCACAGTACGGTTGACGCTTGAACAATGCGGGTCTGAGATGCATGTGGATGTTTTTTGATAAATACATTGCAGTCCTGTAAATGTATTTTTCTCTTCCTTATGATTTTCTTAATAACATTTTCTTTTCTCTAGCTGACTCTATTGTAAGAATACGGTATATAATACATACAGCATACTGGGGCGCCTGGGTGGCTCAGTCGGTTAAGCATCTGCCTTCGGCTCAGGTCATGATCCCAGGGTCCTGGGATCGAGCTCCGCATTGGGCTTCCTGCTCAGTGGGAAACCTGCTTTTCTCTCTCTCCCACTCCCCTTGCTTGTGTTCCCTCTCTCGCTATCTCTCTCTCTGTCAAATAAATAAATAAAACCTTAAAAAAAAAATACAGCATACAAAATACGAGTTGACTGGCTGTTGATGTTCTTGGTAAGGCTTCTGGTCAGCAGCAGGCCATCAGTAGTTTTTAGGGAGTCAGAATTATATGTGGGTTTTCAGCTGCACTGGGGGTCAGTGCCCCAACCCCTGCATTGTTCAAAGGCCAGCTGTATTTTCAAATAGCTAAGGTGTTTTCTGAAATTTTGGGTGGATTAAGTTAAGAACCTGAAGGATGAGCTTCTTGTCCTGATCACTCTGCCCTTGAGTGGATGTCTTTTAGCCTGCCTGGGTCTCCATTTCTTCACCTGTGAAGTGAAGGTATTAAATGATGTCAGTGGTAAAAAAAAAAGTCAATGGTCCTCAGCTGGGGGAGTGGTTTGCTCCTCAAAGAACATTGAACAATGTGTGGAAACAATCTTGATTGTCACGACTGGGGGAGTAGGGGTTGAGGGGGCATCTAGTGGGAGAGACCAGGGATGCTGCTAAGCATCCTGCAGTGCACAGGAGGGCCCCACCTGTCAACGGTGCTCAGGTGAAGAAACCCCCATTTATTCCCTGAGCAATTAATACTTGGATTTTTAATTCAAAGTTTGTATTTTTCCTCTTTGTATTTTTCTTTCTAGTGTAATCGTGTTCCTGACGAGAGGAGATACTCCCTGCCCTTAAAGAGCATCTACATGCGGCAGATTGACCAGATGGTTGGCTTGATTTGATCTACTCTCCTCCGTGTGGCCTCATCTGAAACCGGATGGAAACAGCCGAACCCATGCTGTGCAGAGACCAGTCTGAAGCGGAAGAGGATGGAAGTCTGGCCATCCATGATGGTGTAGGAATTCCTGTCCAGCTCCTCACACACATCTAGCAGATTCTTGCATACATTAGTGTTTCTCTTCTGTTCAATAAAATGCCCTATTTTTCTTAAGGATATAATTTGAAGTAAGAAGGTACATAGAAGTTGGCTTCTTAGGACATGCTGATTTTATAAGCACAGTGTGGATAGGGCATCTTTGGATGGAGCTTCATAGCTTCCCACTTTGGAATCCGACAAGTGTGTTCCTGTCTCCGGCACTTGCCGTGACTGCAGTATTGCTACCTCTCTGTTAGAGGACTGTGAATGAAATTTCCGTGCAAAGGGCCTGAGGTTCATCCCTATTTATTGCATTTTGTTATCCTTTCTCTCATTAGATAATTGGCTCTCCCACCCACGATTTTGGATCACAGGGGGGATAATCATTCAGTTTTTCATTTGCATCCCACATAATCTTCACAGTGTTACAAGTTAATTGCTTATGAATAATTTTTATCTGAATTTCAAAAGGCAGTCTCTTAAATTGTCACACAGATCTTTTGGATGGTATATTACATTTAATTTGAACTTACCTGAGGAACTCCCATAGTTCCAGAACCAGGTGCCTTTTAGGGAGAGAAAAATACCTAAGAATGTCTGAGCTTCCATCTATCTCATATTTACTAACCAAGGATTCTCAATTCTGACCGTGTTTGGGTTAGAATTTTGTTTTGTTTTTGTTTTCTGTGTCTAGTGCCAATTAGCTAAGTCAGGGAGAAAGAAATGATCAGATGACTCTCTGGCATCCCTGAGCCATTTCTCTGTACTAGAGGCTTTAGCTTAGTGCCTTAGAGGATTTTGGTTGGGGCCGCTGGTTGTCACAGCTGCTGCTCTGGTTTTAGCAGCCTTGTTTTGAATTGTCACAGGGTGGGACCACAGTGACAAAGGGGAAGGGATGAGTATTAATAAGATTCTGGAAAATTCTTGGCCAGTCCTTGCCTTTCAGCATGGTATTTTAAGCAAACCTGCATTAGGAGGAAGTTGTGCTACATTGCCTTCTTTCTTTGTTGTTATATTCTTAGCCAGAACAGAAGCGTCTCTCTTTGAACTTAGGCTGAATATTCCTCCAGAGCAGAGGTGGACTTGAACCCTCAGCCTGACTTCCGTATAACATCTGAGGTTGAAATGAATCCTGGTACAAAGGGTAGAAGTCTCTTAAGAACCTCCAACCTTACCTGTCTTGTTGCCCACCTGTCTCTGCTTGCACACTTCAAGTGATTTCCTGTTCATCTTTTTAAAACCAGAAGTGTGGTCTGAGCCATTGCATACCAATCAAAGGGAGAAGTTTTATTCCTTCTTGAAAATTTCAGTGTTACTGTTTTTTAAAAAATAGATACAGAATTCAGTTCTTGGAGATTTTTGAAAAAGGGATTTTCAGTAATAAATGTGTCACCTCTGTCTTTTAAATATTTACTATGCAAATTGTTGTAAGTAAACAAAATCAAATGCTTCTGTTTTACCTTTTCTCTTCATTTCAGAAGCATTCTCTTTATCGACCTTGTCTCATCTCCTGAATAGAACATTTCCTTTGAGAACACTATATAATATATTTTAGGTGTTTTCATCGACTCGGTAAAATCAAAATGTTCCATTTGACATACGCATGTGCACCCAGGCGCAGAGTCCCCATACCTTTTCTCCAGGCAAGCCGAGACGGGACTATAAATGTCCCATCTGGGGGATGAGGCACGTCAGGGAAGAAAATGGGTCCTCCGGGCATCCGTTCCGTCTAGTGGCCCTGCTGGGTTCCCTCTCCAGCTTCTGGGACAACATCGATGTGTAGCATTCCAACACCACCCTCTCGTCTGGGTCCTTAACCTGTCCCCTGCTCTGGCATTCCATCCCCCTCATGCTCAGGAATAGGGACCTGTGCCCCAGGGCCACTGACGCACGCCAGGGGCCGCAGGCTGGCGTGAGATGTGTTTTGTATGAAGTCCAAACCCCCTTGACTTGTGGGCACTGACTTGTACCAGTTGGTGAGACTGAAGGTGAGGGCGTTACTGCAGACCAATCCTGGTGGTTGAGCTTCCAGACTCCCCGGTCTAAAGTCGATGCTGCCTAGTCCGTGATCTGTGGGGCTAGTAATACCGTCTAGTGCCAGTCATGAAACGAAGGTTCTTTAGAGCCAAGTTCAAAGCTTGCTTGTTTTCTTTTTGGAAATCAGAATGTCAACAACTGTGTTCTCTCTTGCAGGGCTTTTGCTGTTTTCTTCTATTCTGTGTTGCAGGATGTCCGGTAGGAAGGGGTCAGGGAGGGGAGTGTTGAAGAGATTCCCTTGCTCAGTGCTTTGCCCCAGGACTGCCCTGATTCTGAACAGAGCTCATCCTTTGGAACAGCTGTGAGTCTGTGCCATCCTCTAGTTCCCCTGTATAGCTAGTGTCTGGAGTCTGCTTTGGTCGACATGAGGAATGTGGTTTTGCAAAACTCTTGTAGAAAGCTGCCCTGTAGTTAGGCCAGGCAGTATAAATCTCCTACCACAGAGTTCTCAGTCGGTACAGGGCAGGCTTTGCTGCCTTCGGTGATGTGACCGAGGAGCTCCATTTCCGGAATAGTAGGTGACAGGGGAAGTGTTGGCTGGCGTCCAGCTGTGCTGGCCTTTGTGAAGAACCAGCTTCCAGTGTTCACATCTTGCCTGCAGTTTGTTCCAGCTCTTCTACCCGAATTCCTAATCGCAGGTTCCCAGCTTGTCCCGGATTGGGGGCATGCACAGGTCACTAAAGTGATTATGTGGTGTCTGTGCAGGTGGATTTTAGAGGAGGCTCTGTGTGCAATCTGAGGGCCTGAACGTGGCTCCCCCTCCTTCTCTCCCCTCTGCCCCCCGCCCCCAAGAAAAATACCCTCTTAGCTATTTCCTTAGCTCAGTTTACTGGGTGATTGCAAACTGTAATCCTTGGCTTCAGATCTTGTGGACTGAACATCAGGCATCTTTTTCTTCTCTCTGGAGGGCCCCAGAGGTCTTCCTCTTTTGAGGCTTTCAAATTTAATGCTGGTGAAAAGGTAGGGCTGAATGATTGCTCTCACCAGAGTACCTGAGCAGGGACTTTTGAAGGAAATCTTGGTCTTTCCTTTTCCATTCCCAGGCATCCAGCTCCTTCTCTAGTGCCTCTTCCCTGCAGGGCAGGGACCCTTGTGAAAGAGGGAAGGTGGGCTGGCTGGGCTGTGTGTCCCCAGGTTTGCAGGGCTCAGGGTTCTGTTCCTGCTGGAGTTTGGATGTGAATCCGGGAAAATCTACCTGTGGACCTTCCTGATTCATTACCCCCTTTCCCTCTTTCTGAGAGGCAGAGAAATAATATTTTTAAAAGGTATTTTGTTTTAGTTTTAAATAGCAAAACACAAGCTGCATTTTTATTTATTATGCACAAGAAAGGTAAATCTGTTTTTACAAAAAAAAAATCTGGAGTTGGAAACTCTGGGAAAACCTATTGAGATAATACACATGCTTCTCTCTCTGTAATGTGCAATATGCTTTGCAGCTATAGATGATATTTTATGTTTAATCTGTAAATAAGAAATGTATTTAAATTAAGAGGGAGCTTTTTGTAAAAGGACCAAATGTTCTTTTATAAATGTACTAAGAAATATCTTGTTCTTTGAAATTTATTAGGATTTTTATGAGTAATTTTTATTAAAAGATTCTTTTTTTTTGAATTGTCATTTTGTTTCTACTCACACATATACATTATATTCAGGACAAACAAGGGGGGAAACTCTTTAAAGGAAACTGTAAAACTAGGCAAATAAAAACTTGTGGGTTTTTGTTTTTGTTTTTTTCTACAGCTGAGCCCTGAGGAAGACTGCTCCATTTTTGTCCGTCACATGTTCCATTGAACTGTCCTCGGCAAGTGGCTGAGAGCCACATGTAACGGTTTTTGTCCTGTCCCTGCCCTCCTCCCTGCAACAGCCTCCTTTCTCCCCGGCACTGACTCATTCACAGTTGTTGTTGCCATTTATCTGAGTCTCTCTAGGTTCTGGGACCCATTCTCCGTTATCTTAAGCAAGGCGATTCATTTCTCCTGACCTCTTGCAGACTAAGGTAGGGGTAACAGCGCATGGGGTCAGTGTGGGTTGCACTGGTCTGGGGGAGGCATGAGCCAGGAGGGTTTCAGCGGGACGGCCTCCATCCCTACTGCTACCTGAGTCATGATGGGGTCTGGAAGGAGATGGCTGATTCTGCTTCTGTGACACCTTGGTGTCCCACCTTTGTGTTCTAGGCAATTCTGACAGGGCTTTTAAAAAACTGTGAATTGCAACAAGGAGAGGAAGGGAGCCCTGGGATCGGAAGTACCTTGCTGGTCATAAAGCACACTGGCCTGGGGCACCGGGGTGGCTCAGTCAGTGAGCCTGGCCTTGTCAAGAGGGTTACAAACCCATGAGACTTCATAGATACAACCACCACCAACCCTTACAGAGGGGCAGTGTGCTTTTTTTTAAGTAGGCACAGGGCCCTTGTGCCATGGGGTCAGCTGGAGAGCCTTGAGAGTGGGAGCACCAGCGCCCTTGGTCAGCCATGGCGAGTGTCCTGGAGCATCCTGTCCAGACATTGCAGGGGAGCGCCTGGGCTGAGAGGGGGACTCTGGACCCACACTGTATGAGGTACAGTCCTAACTCCACCGATGAGCCTTATGCCAGTTTATACAAGGTACACAATCTCATGGGACCTCACTTTCCCCATCTATTCTATGGAATGACAGCAGCAGTCCATATGCATAGGGTGGATGGAGTGGATTAAGCTGTGTAGCGTGCTTAAAATGGCACCTGGTGCATAGTAGCCCTGTGGGTACATTTCCTATAATTAGGGTCAAGTTGGATTTGATTCCTAGGATAAGCTGTAGGATTTTTACGCAGGGACCCTGAGGAGGGATAAGAACTTGGACTGGCACGAAGAGGCCTGGGCCGGAGCCAGGGCTTGCCCTTCTGGATCAGCAGCTTGGATCAGGGTCTCACATTTTTCCCCCTTTTGTTTTTTTGTTTTTTTATTTTTAAATATTTTATTTATTTGACAGAGAGATAGCGAGAACAGGAACACAGCAGGGGGAGTGGGAGAGGGAGACGCAGGACTCCCACGGAGCAGGGAGCCCGATGTGGGGCTCGATCCCAGGACTCTGGGACCATGACCTGAGCCGAAGGCAGACGCTTAACCGACTGAGCCACCCAGGCGCCCCATTTTTTCCCCCTTTTGTAAAGCCAGATACTAGCACCTTTACTCGCAGGGTTCTTGTGAGAGCAGAATGAGCTACATTTTCTCAGAGCCCGTTAGGTGCCGGCTGGCGAATATCTTCACATCAAAGTTTAATCAGGGAAATACACTGCTGTTCTTTTTTCTTCTCCTTTTTTTAAAATAGTATCTTACCTCTTTTTGTTGTTTTTTTTTTTTTAATTTTTTTTTTAATTCTTATGTTAATCCCCATACATTACATCATTAGTTTTAGATGAAGTGTTCCATGATTCATTGTGCATAACACCCAGTGCTCCATGCAGAATGTGCCCTCCTCAATTTGTTTTTTAAATTTTTTTAAATTAATATAGTTAATAATTAATAGTTTCAGAGGTAGAGGTCAGTGATTCATCAATCTTATATCACACCCAGTGCTCATAACATCAAGTGCCCTCCTTAGTGCCCATCACCCAGTTACCCCTCTCCCCTCCAGCAACCCTCAGTTTGTTTCCTATGGTTAAGAGTCCCTTACGGTTTGTCTCCCTCTCTGATTTCGTCTTGTTTTATTTTTTCCTCTCTTCTCCTATGATCCTCTGTTTTGTTTCTTAAATTCCACATATGAGTGAAATCATGATAATTGTCTTTCTCTGATTGACTTATTTCACTTAGCATAATACCCTCTAGTTCCATCCACATCGTTGCAAATGGCAAGATTTCATTTTTTTGGTGGCTGAGTAATATATTCCATTACACAGTGGAATATTATACCACATGGATATATACCACATCTTCTTTATCCATTCATCTGTCAATGGACATGTGGGCTCTTTCCACAGTTTGGCTATTGTGGACATTGGTGCTATAAACATTGGGGTTCACTTGCCCCTTCGGATCACTACATTTGTATCTTTGGGCTAAATACCAGTAATGCAATTCCTGGGTCATATGGTAGTTCTATTTTCAACTTTTTGAGGAACCTCCATACTGTTTTCCAGAGTGGCTGCACCAGCTTGCCTTCCCACCAACAGAATACACTGCTGTTCCGTCCCTCTTAGGATGCCAGGACAAGGTGCAGGGTGGTTAGGAGTGATGTCTGTGCCCCACAATCCCCAGGGAGGTGTAGTCAAGTGCCTGGCACAGTCTGCTCCTCACTGGCACATCACACAAACAAGCCTCCAGCATGCGTGTGTGTGTGTGTGTGTGTGCGCGTGCATGCACACGTGGCTTAAAGCCTACCATATTCAAGCCTCACCAAAATCCTGGGAGGTCAGTTCTATTATTCCATTTCTACAGCTGAGGCCACTGGAAGGTAAGCCCCCCTGCCTTAGGTCACAGTTGAACCACTCTGGACCCGTGACCTCAAGTTCTCTTAAGTACCAGAATGAATAGTTTGGCTCTAGTCCCAGGATGGAGAGAAGGGGGTCTTTGCTGTGGGGAATACCCTGGGCCATTTCTAGAGGGATGTTGCTCAATCCTTGGTCTGAGACCCCAGTGGCCCCTTCCACAGGTGGAGAGGTCGGGGGTTGGGACAGGGCAGCAAACCTGCTTCTGGATTCCTGGGACCCCAGTCTGAGGCACCATGGCCCTCCCAGCTTCTGAGAATCAAGACCTCTGGAAGCTGCACCTCATTCCACAAATCAGAATATTTTCTGTGCCAGTGTGGGGCTGTGAAAGAGGCAGTGAGCCTGCCCTCCCTCCAACCAATAGAAAGCCCCTTTGCAAAAAGGATTTGTTATTCAGTTGTTAGAGTCATTTATCAAATGATTATTTATTGTACCTATTACTTTTTTTTTTTTTAAGATTTTATTTATTTATTTGATGGAGAGAGACACAGCGAGTGCAGGAACACAAGCAGGGGGAGCGGGAGAGGGAGAAGCAGGCTTCCCGTCGAGCAGGGAGCCCGATGTGGGGCTCGATCCCAGGACCCTGGGATCATGACCTGAGCCGAAGGCAGACGCTTAATGACTGAGCCACCCAGGCGCCCCTGTACCTATTATTTTTAAATTTAGAGGCACCTGATAGAAACTGAAATACTCAGAAAGTGCTATAAAATTAATATTAACTTTGACATATCTCTGATAATACATTTAAAAAATAAATGCCTTCATCTTGTCACCTCCCTTAAATATATTTACATCATGACCCTGGAGCTGTAATCTTAACCCAACTTGGAGGAAATAACCACCATGTAACCTAATTGGCTAAGCCAGTCCTTGTTTTCAAGTTTTCAGCCCTAGCAGGCTTATTTGCTGATGGGAAAAGTCTGATTTCATTTTTCAGTCCTAATAAATGTATTCATTAACATGAGAGCCCTCTCTCTTCTGCATCCTAGCATGGAGCGAGGCAGCGCGAAGTTTTGCTATGTTTGCCACAGGAACAGAAGGAGGCACTTGAGCCTCTGATCCAGGCACTGTTGCCAACAAGCCGGGAAGGGAAGAGACTGTTTGTTTCCTGAGAAATATTTCCCGTGGATCCTTTGGTGCTCCAGAGGTTTCTACATGCCAGGGCTGCACACACAGAGCAGTGAGATTCTGGGTCTGTGAGAGGTAGGCCCTCCCATCATGGAGAGGGATCATGCATGGTCAAGCCTCAAGCTGAGCCATTTTCCATGAAAGTACACATGCATACTTTTATGTTGTGTATGGTGAGGATTTGGAAATTGATTCCTTTGACGATAGTGGTTCTCAGACTTTAAAGTTCCTTGGAGTCACTTGGAGTGTTTGTAGAAACACAAATCACTGGGCTCCCCCCTAGAGCTTCTGACTTAGCAGATCTGGGGCAGGGCTTGAGAATTGCATTGCTAACCAGTTCCTGGATGAGCCTGGTTATTTTTTTTAGAGCATTTTTTAAAAACTTAAATTCAATTAACATATAGTGTATTATTAGTTTCAGAGGTAGAATTCAGTGATTCATCAGTCTTATATAATAGCCAGTGCTCATTACATCACATGCCCTCCTTAATGTCTGTCACCCAGTTAGCCCATCCCCCCACCCCCCTCCCCTCCAGCAACTCTGTTTGTTCCCTATGATTAAGAGTCTCTTATGGTTCGACTCCCTCTCTGATTTTGTCTTGTTTTATTTTTCCTTCCCTTCCCCTATGATCCTCTGTATTGTTTCTTAAATTCCACGTATGAGTGAGATCATATGATAATTGTTTCTCTCTGATTGACTTATTTCACTTAGCATAATACCCTCTAGTTCCATCCATGTCGTTGCAAATGGCAAGATGTTGGCAGGGATGCAGAGAAAGGGGAAGCCTCTTACACTGCTGGTAGGAATGCAAGCTGCTGTACCCACTCTGGAAAACAGTATGGAGGTTCCTCAAAAAGTTGAAAATAGAACTACCCTATGACCTAGCAATTGCACTACTGGGTATTTACCCCAAAGATACAAATGTAGTGATCCGAAGGGGTACGTGCACCCCAATGTTCATAGCAGCAATGTCCAGAATAGCCAAACTGTGGAAAAAACCCGGATGTTCATTGACAGATGA